TTTAAGCAATTTAGTTGGCTGACTTAAAGCAATATTTTAATATGAGAATCTTATCAGTGAATGCTAAGTCGAAGCCGCTCTAGTGTGCCGTTAATGTAACAATCGATGCATTTTCAGACAAATACTAGGTTATCGCTCAAATACTTCTTTTTGCAGTGTAACTGTCAATGGTAGGGAGTTTGTCTTATTATCAAAACTTGCTGCTTATTTCATGCTCATACTCTTTCATCTCTGATGACAATGTAGCGTCATTTTGATACCAAAAACCCATATTCCAAAAAAGGAAGAGCTATCGTGTGAAATGTGAATTTTTGCATAGGTGTGGTTTGAGAGAAGTTGGGTCCTTAACATCCTATTCTTTTGGTGAAGAAAGTAATAGAAAGAAATGTAGTTCATACAGCAAGGTCCCTGTAGCAATAAAGCAGAGACGTTTTGCAGTTCATTAAATTCAAATTGCAATGTGCAGAATAAGTGCTTTTTTTGTAGTTTGAAATACAATTCCCTCATTTTTATGAGTGAATAGTTTGACTTACTCTTTTCCCATGACTTATCTAGAATTGCTTTAAAGTTTTCAATGTTTAATTAGAAAAGTGGCAATATAATTTTGCTTATGGAGATTATGATATTATGAAGTTTAGGTAAAAAGCAATCATGCAGAGTATTTACCGAAGATCATAAACTTGGCCTTGTTGTTCAGGCTAACGAATGTCCCAAAGCAATGTGTGGTCGTGGACGGATCAAGAATGTTTGCTGGTAATCCGGGTCTCCCCTACACATCTTCCTACGGGTCGGGCCAGTTTGAGGCCTCTCTTTTTGAACAAGCCGTCCAGTACGCTGCCACAACGGCTGCGACACAAAATGCTCTCCGCTCCACTTTACCTTCCATATATAGTCCTTCACCCAGCGGTAACAACAATACGAGGACAACGCATGGTATGAGAATATACTTCGACTGTTTAAAGAAACGTCTTTGTTATACTGAAGTTGGAAGTCCCCTCTTTTTCCTTCCACCTCCTCTCCAAATTGAGTTATGTTCAATATATATTTCTTATTTATTGTCATTCAGAAAATTCTTCTTCATTGCAAGTTGGAAAGTATCCTTCTCTACAAAAATAAGATCGCTCAATATCACTTCTTATATTGTCTTTTAAGGGGTGGCAACAGCTTCACATTTTGATGAAAGTTATTTGCTAGATGATGATGAGGACAGCAGTATCCTCAGCAATTTGCCAAACTCCTGTCATGATTTCGAGCTCAAGGTTGTTGTTTTTTTCATTTTATGTCAGCAGTTCTGTTTTCCAATGGTTACTTACCTCCTATTGTTCCTATTTTAGGAACTGCATATTCGCCTCGAGCGCAATCACTCAAGTCCTCTAATTGGGGGTCATAGCTCTCCAGCGGTCTCGAGTCTCCTATCGAGTAATTGTCCTTCCGCTGAACCGCCCGCTGATCTTGCGGAGCCGGAAGATCTTGAGGTGATAGAAGTTAAATCAAAGGTTCGATAAAATGGGGAGGTAGTTGTCTGTGAACTCCGCTTTTTTCAGTACTGTGATCGTTAAAGAATTAAATTTTCTTGCTATATTTTTTTTATCCATGTAGTGTGGACATAGTTAGAACACTTTCTAGGATCTTCGTTCCCAATGCCTTTTGGTTCTGTGAATTTCCATAACAAGTTGCTGTTAAACCGGATCATGACATGTGCGAAATAGATTTTTCTTGAAAAGGATGCATGGCAAAATTAAGTGTTAGTGTTCGCCTATTGCTCACTAGCAAACAGAAAAGTGGGAGCTCATTAAAGCAAAAGGAACTTAATTATATCTCTCTTAGATTTTTGGTGTAAGCGGTTGGACGGGTCCTTATCCTTCACATTAGCATGAATAATGTGAAGGAAATAGGAAACCCATCAAAAGAAAACTTGAATTTGCAACTCATATGTAGTCAATTGATTTAGCATCAGTAAC